CATGAGGTGCTGGGAACCCGAGTACCACGGATTCGGAGGCAAGGCCCACTTCGAGGGTGAGGTCTACTTCGACGGTTGCTACGAGGAGACCTGCCACAAGGGCAAATACCACGGCTACAAATGCTTTGATGGACACTGTCACCACGTCTGTGATGATATGCACTGCTGGGAACCCAAATACCACGGATTCGGAGGCAAGGCCCACTTCGAGGGTGAGATCTACTTTGACGGTTGCTATGAGGAGACCTGCCACAAGGATCACTACTACGGCTACCACTGCCATGAGGGTTACTGCAAAAACATTTGCGATGGCATGAAGTGCTGGGAACCCAAATACCACGGATTCGGAGGCAAGGCCCACTTCGAGGGTGAGGTCTACTTTGACGGTTGCTACGAGGAGACCTGCCACAAGGATCACTACTATGGCTATCACTGCCATGAGGGTTACTGCAAAAACGTGTGCGATGGCATGAGGTGCTGGGAACCCAAATACCACGGATTCGAAGGCAAAGCCCACTTCGAGGGTGAGGTCTACTTTGACGGCTGCTACGAGGAGACCTGCCACAAGGATCACTACTATGGCTTCCACTGCCACGATGGCTACTGCAAAAACGTTTGCGATGGCATGAGGTGCTGGGAACCCGAAGTGAAACACTTTGCTGGCAAGGCTAAAGTCCGCGGCGGGATCTATTTTGATGGTTGCTACGAGGAAACCTGCCACAAGGACCACTATGATGGCTACTTCTGCAACCACGGACACTGTGGATACGTGTGCCATGACGACGACTGCTTCAGTCAGGACGAATACCTTTCAGACGGTTTCTATGATGTGCATGATGGGCTCGAGTTTGATGACGGCTACCACTACGACTACCACTACTAGCCGTGATGTAACAGACCACTTCCAATAAAAAAGGTATCTTCATCGACTTCTCTTTATTCTGAGAAGGGAATGTTCCAGTAGCATCATGGGTAAAGCAAGCTAATCAGCACAACCTAAGAAAGTTTCCGGTTTGTGAAATGAAACTGTCTACTATCCTTATCGATGAATACCTGCCCTTCATATGAAACAGCGTTAGGTGGCTGACTGGTGGAGAGGAAGTCCATAAAATACGGGGAATGTGATGTTTTAAATTTCCACTACCATTAGCTTCTGTGCCTTTTAATCGAAGCCTCTTTTGTGCCTACTTGATATTTCCAGACGGCGATTTAACATGCAAGTCCATAGTTTTTATTGTTATAGTATGTCTGTTTATTTGATTTAGGTGGACGCGTTATATAAGGGTTAAGTTTTACGGCGGGCCCAAATAGGCATAGGGTACAGAATAGAAAGACTGAAAGAGTTAGGGTGGAGGTTAGTCTACGACGTAGGTTTGTCAACCTCAGATTCTGTTACGCATTTCAACTAATCCCTGATAAACATGGATTCCTGTTTTTCGCCAGTTTATACGTCTACTTTTGCACCTCATTCGAGAAATAAAATAAAATGTATGCGGGGAATGCGAATATCCTGAACGCCCTCCGCAGGCTCCGTTAATTGCCTCGTTCATCTGTCCTACGGTTGCAACGAATACTCGTTGATCAGTGTTCACCGATCGCTAATGGAAACCACTCGGCCCACTCTTCCTTGGGGCTCATTCTTGAGCCCCGCCAGCAGCCGCACAGTGGCTAGGAGTCTAGGCAGGTAGCATCGCCGACAAAGACAAAGACGAGAAGGAGTTCCAAGGCCGAGCGGGACGAGTGAGTCCTGTTTGCGATCCGTGAACGTTAATCAACGAATGTGAATACTTCCCGATATAAACCGGCAAGACATCAAGCCCGTGACTCAATGATTAGTGCATTAGACAAAAAGGTCGCGGATTTAAGCTTCAGGTAGGGCACCACAATGGACTAGAAATGACTAGCTGATGACGGCTAATGAGTTGAGTCTCCTTTGTCTTTGCGGGCTTTTCTGTCGATCTATCGAAACTAATACTGTCACAGTTGGCGTTCTACAGTAGTCCTCGTGATCTATTTTATCAAAATGGCTTACATGTCAGATCCTTGCTCAGTTCCTTTTACAAAATTGCATTTAAAGTTAATATTTTGTGTGTACTAGTAGTTTAACAGGTAAAACCCACAGACTTAACTCCCCAGTCCGATCATTTACGATCGGATAATGTGAGTGGCACTCTTGCTCTCGGTTCCCATCAAGCAGTCTATATTGAGGGTATTCTGTCCAATCAGAAAAATGGCAATATCAGCAATCTTCGTGGATACCCAATCAAACTGCGCACGAAAAGATCCAAGCTAAACCACCGTTCTGAATTGTTCACGCAACAGGTATTAGAACAATGGAATGATCTCCCTCATTCAGTCGTATAGACGACTTCCCTACAATTGTCGAATAATGGCTTGGATAATTGTGCGTGTCTTTTGTTTTACTTCAAAAGGCCGAGCCTGAACTAAATATCATGTTAACTTCGTAGAGCGTTTTATTTGCAAAAAGAATGCTACTTGCAACGTAAAGACAAGGAGTTTTGCAGAATTTAATGACCTCGTGGTTTTGTGCCTGTTCAATAGAGCCCTTAGAATCTGTGCTTTAGATACGACCGATGAAGAAATCGGTTTCCTGAAGAAAGCGTTTCTTGGATATGGGTATCCGGAGAAATTCATCGATAAGTATCGCCACCACAGGCAAGAAAGCCTTCCCGAAATATCCGTTCCAATAAGTCGGAGATTATTTTCCTTCCTTTCAAGGGTGGTAATGCTTCCAACAGGATCAAACAACGGCTTCCATTCACGATTGAATGAACATGCGTAGCCTCTAAATTGTTGGTCATAAGCACAACGACGGCTGTTCCAGTTAGACAAAATAAATACATTTTGCCTATGCACGCCATATCAAACTGTATTCATAAATTTACTCGTAGTTCAATTACAAAGACCTGGTGGTCACTGGCCATAGGGTCGACCCGAGTTACGATTAAGGGTTGTACTTCAGGCGACGACCGGACGTCTCCTGCGATTTACGAAGGCCACTGCAATACGGAAAAGAGAACCAAAACTCTGTAAGCAGCTGAATCACATGATCAACTTCGCATTGCAATGGTAACGAGCGATAAAGGAAATCGATCAATTTCCCTCCTGTCCTCTCACGTCCCTCACGTCGCCGTATGACTGACTGCTGCCTTGTCCTTTGTCCCTCCTCCTAATCACGCTTGACAGGCGTTCACTGTAATCGGAACGGTATTGCTTCAATAACTGTCTCCGCTTCCTCTTTTCCCTCATCAGGCTCAACTGCATCTAAGACCAACAGCGCATGCTTTATTTACCTATCAAGTTTCAGCCCTCTAGATCGATACTTAATTAGACAGTTTGTTTTATCTTATTAACAGACAATGACTGCATGCAGTTGAATAAGAGGTCACAAAATTGTATGACGTCATCGAATTCTACAAACCTCGTTGCCTTCACGTTGTTAAAGTTTCTTCCGCGAGAAGAATTTTTCAATGCTACTTACCTGTTTTAAAATGCCATTTTAATAGTGGCCATTTTTAAGACTGTGTGTACAGATCTGTATGGTACACCGGCATGTAAACAATCGGGTTTACAAAGATACTGCTTATTGTCCCCACAAAACAAACCTAAATAAGCAATCATCTACCGGGCTGTGTTAGTGTGTACTTATGAAGACGACTTCTAACTCAGCATGTTTGGCGAAGTTTTCTGGACACGCTTAGTGGCAGTAGAACGTTGGCATGATCTTCCTCAGTCAGTCTTACAGTCGCTGTCTCTACAGTTCTTCAAGAAAAGTTTCGATACTTCTACATGTCCCTTTTTATTCCTCAACAATCTGAAGGCGAACTAAATACCTCGGTAACTGCGGCTAGTGTTTTTTTTCTTCAAGACCACGCTACTTATATTTTGTGAATACCAGTTTACTGTAGACTAAATAATT